TCGCACCAGCAGCGCGGATAGCCGCTCGTCGCTGCAGCTCGTGCCAGCGCGTCTCCGAGTTTTTAACCGCCGCCCATCCTTGTGCGTTTATCTGTAGATGGTGGTCGGCCCCTTACTTCCGTCGTAGCGAGCCTAGTTGGCCGGGCGTAACTATCGTTGCCGCTGGTATGCCGCGCCGCCACGCGCGGGTGCGCCGAGGACCGTCCCATTGCAAAGACGACACATTCCAGGTCTTTAATGCAAAGCGTGAGTCTGTAGTAATAGTGTTCTGTTGCTCCGCGTGATTATCCAAAAACCCGAACCCTCTTTTGCAAAACGCGAGCGCACGCGGGCGCCCCGGCCTTGGGCCGTTGCTAGGCCACCGCGACGTGCTCGCCGCTACGCCGCGCTGGGCTACCGGGCCAAAAGGGTCGCCACCGGCCCTTTTCCTTTTCTAAGCATTTTTTGATTTAGCTTCTAAGGTAAATTTGTAAATTCAATATAAAATTGTGTAGTTAGCCAAAAATTATGAAACCAATTTTGGTAAGTTCCTAAAATCATGGTCTATCTGCTAGTATATTTTATTCACATAGTTTTATAATATTTTCAGAAGTGATCTAATTAAATTGAGATCCTTAATATTGTTAAAATATAAACTTATAGGAATTGTTGTGATAAATTAGTGATAGCGTTGGATCTAAAACTTTCACAATAAATTTCTAAAATTATTAGGTGCTCATTGTAATTTTTGTAGCTTTATAATAATTAGTTTACTAGGTAGCTAAATGAGCCCTAGTTCGAAAATATAGGTTTAATCAATAGAATGCCGAAACACCTTAGGATTTTAAAACTAGAACATTTTTCCGGAGATAATGTCTTACTTGACGACGTGGATACGTAGACTAGTACGTTAGTCATTAAAGTTAGCTCGTTAGCTTGCGGAACGTAATCGTAATTGAGAGTTGTAGTTGACGTTGATTAATTACATCTCTGCGTTGCATCCACATATATCATAATAGGAACAACGATGGATCATGGAGTCAATCGAGGTAGCGAAAAAGATGATGCCTTGATAATTGTGTCACTATGATGGAATGCTAATTTTTGGTTATGTCTTACCCAGGCAAGCCCCGGTGCATAACCCCTATTATTCTGCACTTTAGTTTATGCTTGTGCATTAGGTTTTAAGGAGTTGGATAAAAACCACTTGCATATATATATATATTCTTATTCCATGAGTCATACTAGTATGTCAGGATCATGTAGACTGCTATGCTATAGGATCCGGTAGAAGTCAAGTGATTATCTATCACTCGCGAGAGATATGAAAGATATTATTGTTGTTATTCTATTACTGTCACATGAAATATATATAAATGATAATTGAAGACCGGTCGGAATGGTACTTTGGATCTGGACTTGATTAGGCATTCGAGCGAGGCTCGGATTGCACTTGTTCCGCCTGTGTCGATTGAGGACCGTCCGTTGCTGTGGATGGTAGTCAGGTCACAGACTTATTATCCTGAGCACATACTTGCTTATGTGAGCGAAAAGGCTCGTTGCTCTCTTGTTATGGGTTTCGACTCTTTCCGGACTGACTGATTAGAGGCGAGGATGGTGGAAGTCTAAACACCACACTGAGTCTGGGACTCAGGAGTGGGGGCTTGGAGTCCAAGTTTGGACGGAGACCTGGACCCCTTGATAGGAGAGTGATAGGTTGGTCTTGCTTGTACCTAGGGTACAAGCGGGACGTGTGTTTTGTGGTAACCAGCTGGGATATATTGGATCACGAATCGTTGTGTGATAGGTATGACTTCGCTATAGTCTAGCACCGTAGTAAGAACTGAAATATGAAAGATGATAAAATAGTTCTGGTTGCTTACCACCCGCTTGAAAGTATCATAGGTGCTTACATAGAATAGTTAGTTAATGAATTAATGATAACTGCTAATGAAATTGAATATAAGGACGCACGTTTAGTAATGCTTCCGTAGATGCAATAACCCACAAGCTAGATAGCCTTGTATATCCTTGCAGTCTTTTATTTTTCTCCTGTCGGGTAAGTCTTGCTGAGTACAATCGAGTACTCAGAGTTTTATTTCCCTGTTGCAGGTGATCGGAGGGTACTTAGAGCTGACTCTTATGTGTGGAAACCTCCTGGTGGACTCAGAGAGGATTCCTTTCACGCTATGACCGTAGTGTTTATTTATAACCCTCACGAAAGGTCTTTATAAGAAAAGATATAAAATCTGCTAGCAGCTCGTGTATAAAAATATCCGCTATGTTAATACTCCACCATGTCATTAAATTAATTCTGCTTCCCCTGTAACTCTGATAACATTGTTATATTCCGCTGTTATAATAAATTAAGGTAATATTCTGATACTGTAATAAAGTGATGTAAGAAATAGGTTAAGAATGTTGTAAGCTTTATTCTCTCATTTATGATCCTGATGGAAAATGTGGATTTTTTAGTTCTCCTTTGGGGTGTGCTTGACAGAACTGCGTAGTTTAGTGTCCTCTCTTGAGTACTTAGTGTCTAATGGAAGACAAGTACTCCTAGAAAGCATTAGATTAGGTGGTTCTGCCACAGGCTTGATACTTGCTAGGCATATATTCTGAGAAATTATTTAGATTTTTACTAGAATGCACAACCCTTAGCAATTGCTAGTGAAGGTGAATACAAAGAAAGAAAATGGTTATCCTAGTTATATAAACCTACTCCCTTCACCCCAAAATAAGTGACGTTTTTGACTTCGAGACTTTTTGTTTGACTGTTCGTCTTATTCAAAGATTTTGTATAAATATTATTTATTTTGGATGACTTATTCTATCATTAGAGAACAAGAAGTGTAAAAGTAAAAAAATATCATTTATTTTGGACGGAGGGAGTATAACTTTACTAAACTTTACTTATTATATGAGACTTGCATCATTTAGCACCCAAAACTTGACATGGAAGGTGAAAAGTAGAGTCATAGTAAGAATATATATAAGCCAGATCACAGCAGCTCCACTTACCTTCGCTCTGGATTTGCCACCTAGATAATGCGTGATGGTGAACCAAACGTCACCTTTGTAGGAGAGTATTCATTCACTTTTTCCTCACGAAGCAATCCTTACCAAACAGGCAAATACAGTACCAAATACTACCAATGGAGTACTCGTTTACTCCATCTTCTGACCAGGTCAGCACTTGCGCTATCAAATCCCATGCTCGGAGGCGCACACTCTCCAAATCCAGACCGTTCATCCGATCCGATGCAAACCACGCGAACCAACGGCGGATCGCGAGACCGTACTACCGACCCGCCGCGTCACCAGCCATAGGGACCCACAGTGCCGTGAACCGAGAAAACGGGAAAGCCTTTTCACCGGGGCCCACCCAAATCCGGGGTCCACACGTCATTCTAACGGAGCAGGACAGACGGGGTGAGCTTAGCGGCTGCTGCCACCCGCTCCCCAGGTGCATGCACCTCCCCCTACCTTTCCTCCTCCCCCCGCACGCTATATTTATAAACCGCGTCTGCCGCGCTGCGCCACCCCTATACGTCAAACACTTGACCTGCACTCCGACAGGCGGTGGCGTCCCAATCCTGTCCACCCACCCAATGCGGCCGCTGAGGAGGATCCACCTGCTGCTGCTGCTGCTTCTTCTAGTGAGTTCCCTTCGCTTCGCCGCTTTCCAGGTTACAGCTCAGATCTTCTCATCCGTCGCCTGAGAAAATTTTCGGTTGTCTCTTCAGTCATCGGGAGGTGAGTTTCTAGGAGGGCATTTCTCGGTTTGCCTGCGATTAGGGTTTCCGTTTAGTGTATTATTACTGCTAGTGCTAGCGCGCAATAGCTGCTAGGATCCTTGGATCGTTGCTCTCGTAGAAGGGGAGTACGGAGGGAGGAGATGCGTGGGCTCTGGAACTGGAACAGTGTTGCTGTCGCGTAGAGAGAAGTAACGGGTGACGGAGTTTGCATAGAAGACGGTGTGTAGTTTGCAAGATTGCTTATTGTGTTATAATCTGATGTGCTTAGTTGCGAGATGTTCTCGGCAGAGATTCAGAATTTTAGACGACTGTGCAGTTTGCATTGCCCTGCCCCAGAAGTACACTGTACGGAGCCAAAAATATCTGAATCCTGTTTACGTGTGTAACCGATCAATAGGAAAGCGATGGGCGATGGCATGATAATAACGCGCCGGGGACTGTTTTGGTGGTGGACTTCAGAGTAGAGTAGAAATGAAGGCCAACGGGTCGGTGGAAATGGCATGAAAAAGTGGCTCAAAGCAGTCTGAAACTCTGAAATCCTGGCTACTGTCTTTAAGTGAACAAACACTTACGAGTACCTGATAAATGGTTTTTTATATCAGGACAATGGGGCATAAGCTTATGTTGCTGCTTGCAACATCTGAATATTCTATTTTTCTCACATGTGCGTTACTCTTAATAAACTTTCAATTTCATGCGTGGACTTCGTTTATGCTATATGCTTGTCTCTTCTCAGTTCCATTATTATTTGATTACTAACAAACCTGTAACATTGTTATGGCAGCGAGTTACCGAGAAATAGTAGTGACTGCAGTAGTAAAGTAATTTCAAATACTCAACTATCGACTCTATATCCGGGGGCATGAATATCTGCATGATAAAAGGCAAATAAAATGCTAGGTGTCCTCCCAATCCTACTTCTCTTTATCCTTTTAGTCAGTGTTTGACATTTTTGCTGACTTGTCATTGTCATACTGATCTCTGAAGACTGGCTGCTACCATTCTTCAATCCTGTATTGTCGTCATGTCGTTGTTTTCGTAAAGCTACCAAAGCGCCATATATTATGTGGGCATCATTTGTAATTGTAAATGTTTTTTTCCTGCCTCAGAATAGAATGTTCAATGTTCACACGAGTTAATGTGCACAACTTGAGCGGGGCTCGATCTTTTTCAGGTTGAAACACCATGACATGGAAGTCAGCAGTAGCGGATTATGTTTAGTAGCACAAGGAGCATTTGTGTAGCTGAAAGGATTTGCCTACAATGGAGCTTGAAGCCGCTCCTGATGATGAAGTATTCAGTTCAAATGATGAGATGCGGACGTTGTGGCCTCTGGGACAAGTAGACCCAAAGAGTGCGAGGTTCCCTTGTTGCATCGTGTGGACTCCTCTCCCGGTAGTTTCCTGGCTGGCTCCCTACATAGGGCACGTGGGGATTGCCCGAGAGGATGGAACTGTTTTGGACTTTGCAGGTTCGAATTTAGTGAGTGTGGATGATCTTGCTTATGGTTCTGTCGCCAGATGCCTGCAGCTTGACAGGGCAAAGGTACGAACTTTGCTCAATCTCCTAGATTTCGCTGAAAAGCTAGGCTGAAAAATAATGTTCGCTGATTTGTTGTGAGAGAAAAACACTGTAGAAATGGCTGATAAGCCGTGCTGATAAGTCAAGCGAACAGGGCTAAGTTGCAGTGAGAACTATCCATCCTAGCTTTCAGAAAGCATGCTGACTCTGCTCCAAGCCACATTTCTGTTTTTATCGGCGTGGCATATTGTTATGGAATTTCAATACAACATGGTGTAGTTGCAATATTCAGTTCAGTAGGCTCCTCTTGGTAAACTATAGTCATCATTTGTTGGTAGGCAATGGCATGCATATGCTTATATCTGTTCATGTTTCCTGAACTTACCCAGTCAGACAGACATTTTCATTTATGCAGAACAATTCCGATTAGTTCTTCAGAAATGCAAATGCAAAACAATGCTGATTAGTTGTGCACATGCATGCTCTTAAAACCCTGTGTTTACAAGACAACCAACTCCATACTTGTCACCCTAACATTCAGTATCTTTCCATGCCTAAATGCTGATTATTTTCCACTAAGACCAAACCGCTTTACACAATTTTGGCCATCTCTACCTTACAGCCTGCTACTCCAGTTCTGTTCTTTTGCCCATAGGAGTACTTTTCTTCACCATTTTAAATCTTGAACAGCTAATGAGTTGGTTCTTTGCTGCGTGGCTTGTGACACAACACAGTGCTGCTTCCCTGCCAACATGGCGGCACACGTGTGCGCGAGGTCCCACGAGCACTCGGAGGCCGGGACGGCGATCTCGTGGGACGACGTGCTGCGGTCGGGGGCGCAGCGCTTCGAGCACAAGTGCTACAACCTCTTCACCTGCAACAGCCACTCGTTCGTGGCCGACTGCCTGAACCGGCTCGCCTACGGTGGCTCCGTAGGGTGGAACGTGCTGAACCTGGCCGCGCTCGTCTGGCTGCGCGGCCGGTGGCTGAACCCCATGGCCGCCGTCCGGTCCTTCCTCCCGTTCGCCGCCGTCTCCTGCGTCGGCGTCCTGATGGCCGGCTGGTCCTTCCTCCTGGGCATGGCCGCGTTCACGCTGCTCCTGCTCGGCTGGTTCGTGCTCGGCGTCTACTGCATGAAGGGCCTCGTCGGCTGACGCACGCTGGCTCGGAGCCGAACGTGTGCCCAGCTTTACTGAGCATCGGGGTCATCGTAGTATATGAATGAAGGGCGAGAGCTTGAGAAGGGGTAGGGCTGAATCGTGGAGGCGGGGAGAGACAATGAAACGATTTTTGAGCCTGTTTTAATAGTGGAACCGAAATTCAGATATTTATAAAATCTAAGGGCCTATCTAGAACAGAGGAATGCAAAATAGAGGAAAGAAAAAACAAGTACAGGAATAAAAATAGATGTGTTGTTGTGGGAAAACAAAGGAATGAAAAAAAATAACATGTAAACTATAGGTAGAGGCGTTTAATTGGAACATAAAGGATTCTTAAAACATATGGTGATGTTTCAAGAATGTTTGCGACACGAATTTTATTATTTACCAAAGAAATAAATGCGATTACTAAGGGAAGACGTAGTCGCATGACATCACAACCGAAATGGATTATTCTCTGTTAGATCAGCATATCACAGGCTCACAGCCAATTCGGCAAGAATCAGGTGGCAGTGAATGCAAGCGGCGCTGCGGATAACCAGGTTTGGAAGAAACTATGGAAGTTGGAGATTCCAAAGAAAATCAAAATCTATGGATGGGAGGGTTCTTCATGGGGTCATTCCTTGTTGGGCGATACTTGCAAATAGACATATCACCAATGTTGGAGGATGTCTAGCTTGCTCGTCAGGATGCGAAGATATCAAGCATACGATGTTTCTGTGTGTGAGATCAAAAGAAATGTGGACGCAGGGTTGACAGATGACAGATCAGGAGAAAAGACTATCACCTCTGGTTAAGCTGTTGGATCTTACTCTCTCTCCCCCCAGTTAACTATCGCCTATGGTTTGACTCGATTTGTAGAAAATATATGTAACATGTGTATCTCCAAATAAATTTATTAAAAAACTAGATTCAAACATCTATCTAATGATATTAATAATGTACCATAAATATTAATAATTTTATATATATTTAGTTAAAGTTGTTTCTTGGGAAGCCAAAACGACAGAGCCCGCGCTCGGGATCGAGCGAGGCGGAGCCCGCGCCCTCGGAGTCGGGCGAGGCGGAGCCCTCGCTCGAGGGGTCGAGCGAGACGGAGCCCGCGCTCTCGGGATCGGGCGAGGTGGATTCCGCGCCCTCGGGGTCAGACGTGACGAGGCTCTCGCCCGAGGGGTCGGACGAGACGGAGACCGCGCCCTCGAGCTCGGGTGACCCGTATCCCGCGCCCTCGAGGTCGGATGAGACGGAGCCCGTACCCTCGGGGCCGGGCGAGACCAAGATACGCTCTTGACCTATCCGAGGGAGTTAGCATTCATTCGCGGCCATCAGCTTTCTTCTTCCGGGTATACCTAATCCTGATACCCGATAGTAACCCCCGAGCCTGCGGAGGAGTAGGATACTCCTTCGAAGGCTTTTTCAAACAGAAGGATTCTGAGGGTTTTGATCTCCCTTCGCGACCCGTGGGATGTCTTGGTAGGGTTGCGATTCCTCTCTATTGTGATCGGACTCCTCGGGAGCACGCAGCTGCGGGGCTCGGGAGGGTCAGAAAAGATTTCTCTTGATTCCGGTCCCTCCCTAGGATCTGATAGATCTGTCATTGATATGCGACCGCGTACTCGGTCTCCTTGCGAGTCCAACTTCCCCCGAGCCCCCGCTCTTTGCAGGGGTCCGGTCGAGGGATCAGCTCGTCTTGTAATCGTCCTCCCTCACGTGTTTTTTCGATAAAACGGAGAGGCTGAGCCGTGCCATGTTTTCCTCAGTGGACGAATCATGGTGCTCCATGAGTTGTTAATGGGCTAGTCCGAGTGGGGCCCCGGCTTCTCGTTCGCGGGGTCCAGCATGGGTCAGTTGGTGACCGACTCTAGATTCCTGGCGGCCAGTCCATATAGTTCTCGGGTCCATTTGACCGGTCCCAAAGGCTCATCGCCTTTCTTCGAGGAAAAACCATGGACTGTGCACCAGCCAAGACTCGAACGTGGGTCAAGATGCCCGTGGCGCTCGTGCGCCCGGGTGTTGGCCGCTAGCTGGTCCATCCTTAACCACTCCTCACTCCAAAGGTGTCTGGGAGCGATTGTGAACCCGTTGATGGGCCAACCTTCGAACTCCTGGGCCTTAATGGGCCGTGGGAGCGTTTTCAGCTCCGTATCCCTCCTTACCTGTGGTTGTTTTCGGACGATCGAGAGGCGAACCGCTGTCTGGCACGCCCTTTGATGAATGGTTGGGGTGGCGTGTGCATGATTCCCGGTGCATGAGCTATCTGTCAAGATCGAGGATGAGGTCATCCCACCGACGGGTTAGTTAGTTAGATTGACCAGACGCCAAACTTGTAACAAGTAGACAAGTTTTTAACTTTTATAATGACCGATCAGAATTTTGGTTCTTCTCCTTTTTATGTAAAAAGGTTGGTGCGATCTGACCCCTTATGATGTTAAGGTTGTAAAGCTTGAGGTGCGAGCGAAAAAACTCGATCATCAGCTGGTGAGTAAAAACGTCGTAGCCGCTGGGGCGTAGGTTTCTTCCGGTCCGACCAGTTTTACTCAATGTTTGTTTCGCAACTCTTGCTTCTAGATCTTAACATAGAACGGGTAGGACGTAAAGAATGTAATTGAGTATATACATTCTTATCAGCCCCCGAGTGAGGCCCGACCCCGTGCCATTGCTGGGGTCGAGTGCCACTAAATATCGAGGAGACGATAGCGAAACTGATAAGAAAGAAATGTTTTCGCATTTCAGAAACATCATTCTTAACATAGACTAGGGGTAAAAGCGATGTAGTTGTTCGATGTTCTGGGCGTTGATGAAGACTTTGCCATCGATGGTCTTGAGTTTGTAAGTGCCTGCTCGGTGGGACGCATGACCGATCAACGCCCATGGCATCAAGCGTCTCGGTGTACGTGACGTTGAGGCCACTGTCTCTATCCACCAGCACCTTGGTGAGCCGCTTCATGCCGACAGTCGGGTTGACTACGAGCGGGTGTCTTCTCGGCTGCGGGATGCTCTCTGGGTGGTCGGATCGGTCAAAGGTGATGGCGGACTCCGACCACCGAGGAAAAAATGGCGTGGTTGGCTCGGCCGTGTAGACCTCGCGACACGCGAGCTTTCGATGACGCTTGGAGTTGTAAGCCGCCGCCCCATCGAAGATCATGAGGTAGCCATATAGCGTCCAAAAGCCGCCATCCTTCCCCTCGGCATCGTCTACCGCCAGCTCAGGCTTCTTCCTCTGGTCCCCCTTTTTGGAGCCGCTGGATAGGAAACGCTTCACGAGGGCGCAATCCTTGTACAGGTGTTTGACGGGGATGGCGTGGTTCGGGCATGGCCCCTCGAGTAGCTTCTCGAAGTGGTCGGGAGCACCCTCGACAAGCGCCCGACCGCCTTTCCGCTTGGTAGCGGCCACGAGTGAGCCCCCGTGTCACTGCTCATCCTTCTTCTTGTTCTGGCGGTTGGAGGCGCCCTCACCGGCGTCCTCGTCCCGCTTCGCTTTGCCCTTGGGGCAGTCAAAAATCGCCCCGATCGCCTCCTCGCCTGAGGCGTGGCTGGTCGTGATGTTGGGGAGCTCCTTGGTGGTTTGAGGGCCCTTCTGTCCCAGCATGTGGACTAGAGACTCATAGATGGTCCCGAACAGGAAGGCTCCGATGACGTCAGCATCGGTGACGTCGGGCAACTCGTTGCATTACCTAGAGAAGCGTCAGATGTACTCACGGAGAGTTTCCCTGGACCTCTGTCGGCAATTCTTCAGATCCTAGGGGTTCCCAGGGCGTGTGTAGGTGCCGTGGAAATTTCCACATATCCCTTTCAGGTCTGCCCAACTTTGAATTCGGTTGGGCGAAAGGTGCTCCAGCCATGTTCGTGCCAAATCGGCCAGGAACAAGGGGAGATTGTGGATAATGAAGTAATCACTATCCGCACCGCCGGCTTGACAAGCAAGCTGGTAAACTTTGAGCCATAGGTCGGGGTTCATTTCCTTGGAGTATTTTGGGATGTTGGTTGGTGATCGATACCGTGGCAGGAAAGCTGCGTTAAGGATGTGCCAACCGAAAGCCTAGGGCCCTGGCAGATCGGGGCTCGGGCTCTGGTCCTCACCGCTGTCGTTGCGTCCGCCATGACGAGAGTGGTAGCCACGTCGGCCTGCTCTCTCTTGTTCCCCCATCCACACCTATGGACGTCTAGGGCGTTACGTGCATCATGGTTGGATCTGAGATGCTCATGCACCGAGACCATGGCAAGGCCCCCACCGTCGCATGACACCTGGTGGATAGTTTCATCCCGGACATGTCATCTAGAAGACATGCGCTGACTGGCATCGAGCTTGCATCACTAAGACAGCGAGCTTTGCGCCTGTTGCACCGCCGCGCGCTCGAGCAACGTGCGGATCTCGTGATGGCCCCGACGGTCTTCGGGTGTTGTGGGCCTCGGGAGCCCTAGGAGCAAGGTCGCCATGGCAGCTATGTTCTAGCTTGCCCGAGCGAAGTGCGGGAGGCCTCCGTCATCCTCGACGATCCTCCGGTTTACATCGTGGGCGATGGCGCATGCACGGTCATTGTGTTCGCGGTGCTCGATCTCACGCTCGAGCTCCACATGCTCCTGCTCCAGCTAGAGTCGTGCAACCTCGATCTCCTCGTGCCGTGCCCTTAGCTGCTCCATCCATAGGCAAGGTGGGGCCCATGCCTCTCCCTCGACCTCATCGTTGGAGTCACTCGTAGGAGTAGTCCCTCCCTCATGGATGTTTTTGACGCATCCCTCGGGGGTGCCTGCCATGAAGCATTCTCATGAGGGGTGATGGCTTCCCCTGCTAGAGTCAGAGTTGGAGGTCATCTCTGAATCTCCTGGGAGAAGGTCATGGAAAGATTCTGCGACGTAGTCTGTCATACCCATGAATTTGCCATCTGTGGGGGATGGGCGCATGCATTGTGTCGCGAGGTGACCAATGGTCCCTACGGCGTTGCGCAGGCCGAAAGGGAACGCTGTCGGGGTGCTCTAGGTGAGGTATTCCGGGG